AAGTGGGATACTAGACAAAATAGACCAGTAATGTGATGTGGTCCAGCAGGCTAGTTCAGGGATACTGAACTAGATGGAGCAATGATCTGTGTTAGCTTGGCAAGAGGCAAGAGACAAAATCTACAGCTTTGACCTCATGTGGTGAGTCCAATTTTCTTATGAAAACTTTGATAAACTATGCTCCCTAATAATTTCTAGGTCTGCTTACTCTTCCATTCCTTCTTGTCGTAAGCACCATACTTGCCCACATGCCACTGTTTCAGCATCAGGCCAGATATTTCGCAGCTCATGTTATTTGATTACAGAAGTGACTCATTCTTGTCCTTCCGCTTGGGTGCAAAAAATCTTAAGATAACGGGCTTAAAAAAAAAGTCAGTTCCTAAACTGACCATATATGTTGTTCTCTGATGACTCCAGAGCCAGTGCTTAAGACAAGACCTATGATCACAGTGGTTCTTGCTCCCCAGTCCATTGAGGAATCTGCTCTACCGGGGTATGTACAAAAGACAGACAGCATTCTGTCTTTCTGTTCTGCAATTTCTCTATCACTCTTAAAGCATCTCTCTCTCCCTATGCCTCTCTCTTTTAGGGATCTAGAAAACATTGGGTGGGAGAGTGTGACAGGACCCTCTAGATGGATTCATCCAGCTCCCTGTCTTGGAACAGGATTGATTTCAGTTGGTATAAAGCATCTTCTTTTGACTAGCCACTATATATATTCTGAGAGGCAGCTTGGTCCAGTGGCCAGGGCAGCGTTCTCTCTTGGCTCTGTGTGTGTATCAGCGAAGGAGGTTCTCCATAGCAGCACCCCCACAGGAAGGATAAGGGACCTGCTAGTACAATAAGCAGGACAGGGGTGATCTCTAGCTGGAATAATAATGGCCTGTGATTGGGAGTTGAAGGAGCAGGCGTTTAGCCTCAGCCCTCCAAGGGGTGTGTGGTTTATACAGTAACTTTGCCTCCTGCCTGAAGAACTGGGATTTATTACAACTTGATGAGGAATAGTGAGACCTGGGTTCAAGTCCATCTGTGTCACTGACTCCATGAGGGGATATCAT